ACAACTGCTCACCTGGAACGACATTCGTGATCAACAGAAGTCATGTAAGCTTTCTGTGGACAATGAAGAGAGATAAATCCCTAATTTACAAATTACAAAATCAACCACCAGATTTTCTCATAGCCAGCCTCGTGGAATAAACGGGAAGAGGATCGAAGGTAGCTTCAAATCCAATGATCGTTCACCTTATTTAATGGAAACTGTATTCTCATCAGAAAATTGTTAATACTGTCTTGAAGATGACCAAGAGCCCCAAGACCAAATTATTGGGTAGGAACGGCAGATAATGAAAGTAGAAACGCGATGTGACCTGCGGCATAGAAAATGGAAGAACAGTAGTCGAATACCCGGAAATAAGGAGATCTTGTTCTGAAATGTGGAGCAGAATAAGCTGCAGAGAGCGAGATGAGAGATAATGGGGAGCGAGGATGAAGGAAGTTCTCAGAGACGAGAGAGCACGTAGATCAGCGAGACGAAGTGGACGAGATACCTCCGGACCAGCAGCAGGGCGGAACGATCAGCGTTTGGTGCCTTGTGGCGCCGTTCCTGTGGCATCTTTTGCCACGAGGTGCCTCGCATCGCAACGTTCACGGCCACTGGTCCTCCTAGGCTATTACCCGGTATTTCAATTACCTCATCCTAGATTATACCTTCGAGTGCAAAAAGCTTATATTGAGAAGCTTGATTCGGTCCATAGTTTCAAGAGATCACTAGATTTCACGACGCTGTAAATTTCCTTATAGCGGTTCAAAATTGCAGAAGATGTCTCATGATGGCCTCCATTTATTTTCACGGTGAGTGCTCACACAAATGGAATTATGCGAGGTGCACCGACGGTGAAGTAAAGGAAAAGAAACTAAAAACTGAAACTTATCAAATGTTGGATGTCTTTTTAAATTAAATGCGGATGTCTTTTTTGAGCGAAGGAGGAGTCTCTGAGACAGAAAACGACAAACAATTTACGGAAAACCTGAACAAATTTGTACCTAACCTACTTGTGGGGCAATGGTTGTCGGGTCGAGGGACATGCTCGCAAGCGAAGAAGCATGTAGGACGAAGGAGACGCAGACAACAACACATTTCTATCTTTGGGCAAATATTGATAATTGTTTCATGTTTTTTTTGTGCAAGCATCTGTTTCCAGATCGAGGAAAACGGAAGCTGTTTTAGTTTGAGGTTTATCGCCTGGAATTTTCCAGGCTAAATTTGAAAGAAATTCATTTTGAGACAAAATTTTGAACCTGTGTGCAGATTTCTCTCTCATATAAAAATGGAGCATGAATCACCTGGCACTTGCCGACCCCTTTCTGGGGTGCGCCACGCATTTCACTTCCACTAGATCAGAACGAACATAGGATTAGGCAATTACAGTGGAGTACCCTAGGAGCAAACTCTTTTCGTTTTTCATACTCCAGTACATACCGTCGTGATTGGAGACCGATCAGGAAACACCAGAAATTTATGGAATACGGCGTGGTAGCTCGTTCTAAGAAGAATTTGATTGGCTACATCGGTATAATAGTGTGGTTTCAAACAGCATTGCCACCATACCACCTTCACTCGCTCCTCTATTACGATGAACACACAAAAATAAGGAACCTTTTCTTTTTTGCGTCGAAAAATTCAGAAGTATTTCCTATAATCACCGCATATGAGCCTGCTCATTATTAAGCCGCTATAATCGAGCAGAAAGGGTCCACTTCATGAAAAACATGAACATGCAATGCGTCCATTAAACGAATTTATTGGACCACCCATATGGATGGGGTGAACAACAAGACGAAAGACGGTAGCAAAAAGAAGAGATATGTATTCATGGATGGATGGATGGAAATAGTGATATTAATGAATAACCATTTTTACGAGATTTGTACCAGTGGTAGTGCGTACCGGGGGGGGGGGGGGGGGGGGGGGGGGTTTACGGACTACTTGATTTTTCCTCAATGGTCCTGCCGCGATGGCTAGAGCACAGACGATTAGAGAACGGGTGAATGCCCTAGGACTAAGCCTTGGAGAGGAGAGGGACCCGCGAGAGAGCGCAGAGGCGGTTTAAAGGGCTGAGTTCAAGTAGTCCGTCGACTTAGGGGTGGAGAAGCTGCCTTCAGACAGCCTGCTCACGGTACCACCCCTTTCCTCTCTACTTGCACCGAGATTTGACCAAATGGTTACTACAAGAATTAAGAAGAGTTCCAGGAGTTCAAGTGACGTTTGTTTATGGAGAAAGGAATGGAAGGGTAAATCGGAGCAGAGAACCCGTTCAATAATCTGTGCTGGTTCTGCGCTAGTAACCAAAGATCAAGGATTCCCTTGTTTTCGCTCTGTCGTCGAATGATTCATGTGGTAAAAGCGTTAAACAACAAAGATGACAAAATAGAGAATTGGCGGGCCTTTCTGAAATGCGCATTTGTCTGGCCCCTTCAGAATCAGTAGGGCCTTTGCAATGAGCATTTGGCGATTTACACTGACAAAGGCGCTGGCGATCGTCCGGCGGTTCGAGATGCCTCAGGACAAGTCTGCGCAACTTAGGAAGACATGGGCTAAAAGAACGGTAGCTGGGCCGAAAATTCATCTTGGATTGAAGCTCTGGCCATTCGTGTAGAAGCAGCGCCACTTGCCACTGCGACACCGGTCAGCGCACTAGTTTAGGCCATGAGGTCATTTCCCCCTATTTTCTTAGAAGGAAGGACTAAATCGTTTTTTCAGCCCTAGTCTGATAAACATGAAGGTGCCCGCTCCGCCACCGCACGCTCTTGTGAATTACGAAGTCACCCCCCGGCACAACATGATTCGGCGGTTAATAGTACAAATGTAGACAACCACCCCCCCCCCCCCAAAAAAAAACTAAAGGTCTCAGGGACGCGGAGGTGCGTTGTCTTCCACCAAAAGACCAAATGGATCCATTTTGCAGTGGCCATATAATGACGTGGGGCAGTTATGGACCATAGACCACATAATTTCAGTTTCCTCCTCCACAGCAATTATGGGCAATATGCAGCGGTAAATTGCAACCCGTCATTGGTGCACGGGATAAAAAGGAGTGATGCAAGTCAGTCAAAGAAAAGGAGCTCAAGCAAACAAACAGATAAATCAATGAGTGGCGATGCAATGAGTCTCTAATTAGACGCGTTTGTGATGTGGCCGGTTAGCGGTGGTGGCGGTGGCGTCGGTGGTCAGCGAGAACGAGAACAGCGCTGATCAGATCTATCATCATGATGGCAGCAATAAACCCGTCCTTCGCATCAGCTCGCCACGCCGAGCCCACCGTCCTTCACCTGAATCGTGCTGAAGTTCTCAGAGAAAGATCGACTCCAACGGTTATTTTCGGAAACTGCAGTAATAATAATATGCGTAAAGCATAACTGAAGCTCATTTACCGGTTTTCTAAGTTTTATTACTCTCATTGCGTTGGATGAGAGGGGTTTATGACATGGTAGAGCTACTCAAGGCGCTATGGCAAGATACGGCAACATCCTCTAGGACTAACCTTAAAATTCCAGGGGCTTCGTGGAAGATGAAAATGGCTCACGCATCCTGGAATCTCTCCTCCTCTTATCGTTACAGCTTAGTCCCGCTTTTACCAAGAAGGAGATGAATTACGCGATTTTCAGATGCACTGCTACCATTATGGCCCCGTATCTTGCGATAGCCCCTAGTCAAAGATGGAAATTATCACCATCTTGAATAGCATAAAAGCACCATAGCCAATTTGCCATAGCTGCGCGATGATTATGTTGCCGCTCTTCCTTCGCGTTAATTAAAATCTTGAAAAAAAAAGGGAAAAAATTGGAAAATTGGATCAATCGCTTGCTAAGTGATTTGTTTAATCAGTGTTTTCCTTTTTGATGGGGGACAAAGGAGTAATTCATATGAAAGAAAATTTGCGACCCGCCCACAAAATGCCAATCTTCATAGTAGCAATTTCTAAATGGAAACTAAACCCTGCTGAGGGAAAAGGAAAAAGAAAATCTGTGTGAAGCTATCATATAGATATGCTGACGTAGAAACAAGGTATCTTGTTTCCATAGAGGAGGTGCACCTTCAAAAGACAGTGTGAGAGTTATGCATAGGAGCGGCATCAGATGCCAAGTGCAAAGTACGCGCAAGTTCGCTTCCACTTCACTGCATTCCGACAAAGTTCTGCACCGCACTGCATTGTATTTGACATAGAATTTCTTAGGAAGCGTAAAACAATGAACAATGAGGCTGAAGACGAGGGCATGGAGCACCCAGAAGGGTTTCACGTTTTAAAACATCGCGTTTTAAGGAAAAGCTAGGTCGCCACGGCCATCCAAGTAGGGATACGCCCAAATGCGCCTTCATGCGCTGACGTCAAAAAGTGAGCCGATCCTCGAAAGAGTTTCTTCGGTAATAACACGGAATCAGAGAAATTCTTAAGAGTATGATAGTGGGATCGCTACGACTATGATCAGATAATACGACTTCTAATTGCTGTCATCTGTGAAGAGCGCAACAGCACTAAAGGATCCGCCTCGTAAAATTTCTACTGCACTTTTAACGAGCACTCCTTAGCACTCGCAACGAATGAGATTGAAATCTATGGTGGATATTATCGAACAATAGATTTTTCTTATATGCTGAGTTTTGGGCGGTTATTTCGGCTACTGTCACCAGTAGCGAATGGATTGTGTGGCGATCTACTTCTGTAGACTTGTGGACCTTTTTGCCGAACAAGCAAAGACAAAAATCGCAATAGACGATTCGGAAACAAATCCTACTGTTATAATGCAGCTACCCTTCTTCAAGGCCGGCGTTTGCTCTTGTTTCGCAGTCCTTTCTGCAACCACACCTTCCACTGAAGTTATCTAAATAATGCAAGAGTAGTGTACTTTCTGAGAGCTCCAGATATTCCCTATGTTGCCCTGGGCAGATTCCCTGCTGCGAATGGAGTGACTTTCTTAGCATCACCACAGTGCCCTCCATATTATTTCATACTTGGTTCAAACCAATTCATCATACTCACTGCCCTCGAGGGATACCTTGTTTCGGTGGCATAATGGTTAGCACACCTGCACACAAGCATGAGGTCCACGTTCGAATTCCGGCGGAGACAAGCGTGTTCTTGCTTAGAGCTCGGAGCTACGCCCTTCATGGAAAGAAGATTTGCAGAAACAGAAACAGCAGACACTGCTAGCATCGTCTCGAAAAAGTGCTTCAATCACCATGACATGGATCCAGTCCGAAATCCACAATATGAAAACGAGCTGGCAGTGGGAGTATTACCTGAGGCAACAGGGAAATAATAGCCAAGAACGTTACATTCTGCAACGCATAATTGATACTAGAGCATCTATAAACTCCTTCCTTCCGAATGAGCTTCCAAACGCCCGTGAATCAGAAGCGCGGCCGAGGCGTGGCGCACACCAAGGCAAGGGATATCAGTGCAAACGGGGGCGACGGACTTTTGGTGCGTCCGGGGTTGCACGCGGCGAATCGCGCGGCGGGCTGCGCGGCGATCCGGACGAGGCAAGTCTTCGCGGGCTTCTGCGGTGGAATTCAACACGTCAGAACGTGTGCAGATCGCGGATAGAATCCACAAGGTTCTGCGATTCGAATTACATTCCAACGCGTGGATATTCAAAGGCAGCGGCAGGAAGAGAAGAAAAGGAATAGCAAAAGGCTGTTATAGCAATCAGGGCGCTTAGGTTGTTGGCGCTTGTTGTTAGGGGGGGGGGGGGGGGGAGAGGAAATCATATGAGCGGAGAGATTCAACCAATTATTGTGTTTGGGACTAAGACTATTCATATTTATAATATGATAATAGTGCCATTTCTATGAAGTTCTCTCTTTCATCTCCTTTCGCTGTAATCTTCTCACTGACACCGCTGCATTTCACCGATCTCCGCGAGTGGGAAGTTTCTTTCGAAGCAGAACCTTGTGGATTCTATCCGCGATCTGCACACGTTCTGACGTGTTGAATTCCACTGCAGGAGCCCGCGAAGACTTGCCTCGTCCGGATCGCCGCGCAGCCCGCCGCGCGATTCGCCGCGTGCAACCCCGGCGACGGACTTTTGGTGCGTCCGGGGTTGCACGCGGCGAATCGCGCGGCGATCCGGACGAGGCAAGTCTTCGCGGGCTCCTGCAGTGGAATTCAACACGTCAGAACGTGTGCAGATCGCGGATAGAATCCACAAGGTTCTGCTTTGAAAGAAACTTCCCACTCGCGGAGATCGGTGAAATGCAGCGGTGTCAGTGAGAAGATTACAGCGAAAGGAGATGAAATAGGGAAACTTTACGAGATGTCACTATTATTCATATTATGAATATGAATAAGAAGCACTGAAAATGGAGTTCATTTAGTGAGATGTTATTTATTGTCAAACTCTATATCTTTGCTAATCGCGGCGCTCCTGTCCTTGGGGAACTTTCAAAACAGGGCCAATGGAAGGTGACACTAGAACTAAGCTCATGAGAAGGGAAATACGCTCGGGAGAACAGAAATTGCTCACATCCTCCACGAGAAACTTTCCCTCAGGCTTAGTCCCAAACACAATAATTGGTTGAATCTCTCCGCTCATGGGACTCCCCCCCCCCTTAACAGCAAGCGCCAGCAATCCAAGCTATAACGGTCTTTTGCTATTCCTTTCTTCTCTTCCTGCTGCTGCCTTTGAATATCCGTTGGAATGTAATTCGAATCGCAGAACCTTGTGGATTCTATCCGCGATCTGCACACGTTCTGACGTGTTGGATTCCACCGCAGAAGCCCGCGAAGACTTGCCTCGTCCGGATCGCCGCGCAGCCCGCCGCGCGATTCGCCGCGTGCAACCCCGGACGCACCAAAAGTCCGTCACCCCGTTGCAAACTCCGGACGCACCAAAAGTCCCGCATCCGTGCAAGCGCATGCTCAAAGCTTTCTAACACCCTATGTTCAAACATGAAATTGTCATTCCCTTTGGTTACAGTCCAGTGAAACCTAAAAAAACCGCGTTTTCAAGAAAATGGCTTGAAGAATGCCCCTCCAAAAAAGTCCAACGGGACTAATTTTTGAACTGCTGACTTTTCAGGAACGGGGTACTTTTTAGAAAGCTTGAATCCTGTAGTTTGTCATACCGTGTTCAGCTTCCCAAATGAATGACTTTGAAGGAAGTTATGATCGTTTGAAGGTTGAAAAAGTCGCGGTTCCAGAAAAATAGTAACGCAAACCCCCCAAAAAGTAACAACGGGACTAATTTTTGAACTGCTGACTTTTCAGGAACGCTTGGGTACTTTTTTAGAAAGCTTGAATCCTGTAGTTTGTCATACTGAGTTCAGCTTCCCAAATGAATGACTTTGAACAAAGTTATGATCGTTTAAAGGTTGAAAAGTCGCATTTGCACAGAAAAAAGTTCCAACGTGCTAAATTTTTATAAATTAGCTTTCGAAGAATTTTCAGCCATGGTTGGAGAGAGAATAATTTGAATTTTTCAAATCAAATCACTTCGGCGCAAAAGCTCGAATATGAAGGAAGTTATAGCCCTAGAAAGAGGAAGGTAAAAATTGTAGTGCAATTTTATTTCTTGCTTAATAACTTATTCATTTCAAATGTTTGAGAACAAATGAGCTTTACTTAGAAAGGATGAGCCTCGGTGATCCAAAATCCACCTCCATCTTCCGAAGAGCCTGAAATTTAACGAAGAAAAATTCGTCTACGCTAGAGTTGACCCTGTCCATAACCATGGTCCATTTTCTGAACGCCTCCAGGAATGTCAAAACAGTGGTGAAGAAATGGTCCAGAGTTCGATCCCCGGTGATGACTAATTTTTGCAATATAGTTTGGCGCCCCCAGATTGCCGCCAAATGGCGCCATCGTCGAGAATAGATGTCATTGTCGTGTTTTGCGGCAATTTGGAGGCGCCAACATAAATTGCAAAAATTTGTCATCACGGAGGATCGAACTTTGGACCATTTCTTCCCCGCTGTTTTGACATTCCTGGGGCGTTCAGGAAAAATGGACCATGGTGTGTTCCTCACATGAGCCTCTACAACATTCAGAAAACCATTTTGAAAAAACGCTCCATGTCCTGAAAGACCTCCCTTGTAGATTCTTCTGTACGACACGTTTCTTCTCTATATCGCCGTACTGATCACTACGCCAAACCAAGAACCACTTTCCAGTCGAATTTTAATTCCAAACTGTTGCGAGCTATCTCAAACCCTGGTGAAATTAGTGATGACAGAGAATGACTGGCAGCAGCACCGTTGTCTGTTAATGAACCTTTTGCTTACGAACCCACACTTCTCATCGGAGCGAATAGATTTCCTCGACTGTTAATCACTCTGATTGTGAGGAGTGGTAAAAAGCTAAAAACTCCATATTGCTTTCTTTCTGAAGTAGTCAAACTTTTGTACTCATTTCAGAATTGGTGGAGACGAAAAATCACTCCGTTGGACCATTTCGGGGGATTTGCGGTCCGATTTTGGCAAAGCACCGATTTCTTGCTTCGAATTACTTTAAAAAAATTTTTAGATCCAGATTTGACAGCCTCTTTGAAAGGGTGTAGGCTTCCTAAATACTTGATTCATTTTAAGATTAATGAAGACTGAAAATCACCCTGTTGGACCGTTTCTTCAATGAGTTTTCAGGACTACTCTGCTGAAAACGCGAGTTTTCACCATTCAAATACTTACGGCTCTGCTCAGGACTCAATTATAATCGGGAAATAATGATCATCCCGGACTGAACTGAAAAAATAACTACTGAAGGCGCCTTTTCAGAAAGTCGCCGACAAACAAAATTTTTTTCAATCTTTTTTTTTTAAGGGTTTCAGAAGTAAATCTACCCATTCCTTCGCTAACGTAGGTCCAGTTCGAAGACATTTGTATCCCTGTGGAACAATGTTTGTGCACGTAAACAGTTGAAGATAGACTTTTCTGCAGCACTTTCGCCTGTTCTGAGATGCACTGCGTTTGCAATCACTCAATTGATTAAAATTCATTACGAGTATTTTCATTTTTACATCTGTGTTTAGGGATTGAAATGAAAAAAATTTGAATTCTGAAAGTCCATTCATGGAAGCTTTTTATCGTTCCTGCGCAAGTAGGCGTCATTTAAAGGAATCTTCCACGGACCATGGACCAGTGGGCGGGACCGGAAGTGGTTTTGCGACGAAATGCATGGTAGGTACGGATCCACGTTCATGGGAAGGTTTGAAGTGAATCCTGTTCACGTTCGTGCGTTCGACACGTGGATCCGTACCTACCATGCATTTCGTCACAAAAACTTCCGGTCCCGCCCACTGGTCCATGGTCCGTGGAAGATTCCTTTAAACTAAATAGGCCAATCCTGTTGGGCCATTAATGAAAGCAGCTCATCTATCCATTTTGTGCGCTCATCAGTAAACTGTTGGAACTCGGTTCTACCACTGTGTTCGAATTCAAGCTATGTGTCTCGTGAATCTTTGATTACAAATTGTATCACATTCATTGACATGTTACTCTGCCAAATACATCGAGTTTAAAGCTAAGGAACAGAGCTAGAAGTTGAAAATTATCAAATAAATTTTACTACATTTTTTATTAGGTTCCTTGCAGCGAAAAACCCTCCCGTCCTCATCCAACACCCATGAAAATCTATACGTATTGCGACGTTAACCAACAAAAATACGACCACGCCGACCCCCCTTCCACTAAATACTCTCAATGGATGGGAGACGTGCGCTTTCTCCTCCTGGGGTCAGGTCACCACAGTTGCGCGATCATTTGAAGCTTAAGGTTAAGTTTGGGTTTAGACTTTAGGTTAAGGCTTATGCTTACACATTGGCTTATGCCTAAGCCTATGATTGGGCCTAGGCTTAGTCCTAAGCTTGCTCCGAGCGAATGAACGGCGTCTCAATTTTAGGTGACCTGACCCCAGGAGGAGAAACGCTACGCACCCCCAATGGATGCACTTGAGGCGAAACAATTGCTGCGTTATGTACCAGTCGCTTATTCCATCCTATGGCACGGACACGTCCTGGATGGGTCGTGTGGCCCTGGTTTATGTACCACTCCTTCGCGAGTCCTGGCATGAACGCCTCAACCAGGCGAAGGTTGTGGCGTACAGCGTGATCTCCCCCCACGCTTCAGGCGCGCAAG